CTTCTTCTCAGACCGAAATACGTGCTGGTTAACGATGAGGTTTTCACCTCCTCGAGGATCCCGTTCCAGTCTACAAGAAGCCTCCTCAGCCATGTTCGTCGTTTATCCAAGACCGTTCCATTTTATACGCTCGCCGAAGAAAACTTGCCGGAAGTGTTAGATGAGGGGGGTGGAGATTGTAACGAAAAAGCATTTTTTGTGTGTCGGCATTCAAGGATAATGCCCCAAAGGGGCGTCCTTTTCCGCCGACCTGTCCCTTAATGCCGAATTTCGACTTCGGCATTCCCGGAATCATCCAAAGTGGAGAGATATTTCTCATCGTCCCAGTCGGCATTCGCGGGACAAGGCTCAATCGGCATTCGCGGACAAGTGTAAAATCGGCATTCGCGGAAGACATCGCGGAAGACAGAAAGTTCGGCATTCCAGGAGCTTCCCCTCTGCCGCTCTCAAATTGGAAGAATATCAATATTCCTTTACAAAGTTCCACCTCCACTTATTACTCTCTGAGGTCATCTGGATGAAACAAGTTAGGCATTCTTCTACCCATCTTCTTTCTACCCGAACACAGAATAATTGAAGAAAATTTGAAGCTCCATCTCCAAGACGTTGCGGATCGAGAAAACAGGATCTCGTTCTTAGCTAGTACGAATTTCATGCTAGTTTTTTTTTGCCTTCTCCTTCGTTGCTCCACCAGGAAAGATTTTTATATGGACTTGTTGAGTGAGATATGTGGCCTTGCAGTTATCGACGGTGCACCATTTTACCATGAAAAATGAAATTAGCCGTCGTTTATTTGGGCTCATCGTGTCCGGCTCCAGTCCCGTACCGCACGGTTGCCGGATATCGTGCTAGAGTTATGTCAGTCTCATGGCTGCTACTGCTTTCGTATCGGTGCCTGGGTCTCCTGTGTTTAATGACTCATACTTTTTGCGTCTATTTCATGGGATGAGTTGAGATTATACAGTGGCTAGCGGTGGCCGATCGATGCAGTGGGATACGGACATACCGTGCATGGACATCACTGCACATGATGGCGTCCCACATGCACTTGGATTTCCAAGGCAATGAATGTGTCCACAGGCGTCAGAGTCGGATTTTTCTAGATATTCCAGATAAGCCTGACGTTACATGTCCCTGCTTAAACGGTTCGTGAAACCTGAAATGAGCCCATAATATTGACCTGGCGTTGCACGTCCGCACGTTTGAGATGTCTCGAAAAAACTGAGATATACCTAGCGTAGGCCTAATTGGTCCTTAAATCGAGGGTTGAGAGTCTTTCGAGCCTTAAAAGGTAGACCTAGGCCTGAACCGAAGTGGACGTAGGCCAGTAAGTTCCAAGGGGGGGGGGGGGGGAGGGAGGGGCTTTGAAGAAGGAAGTGGTAGGCCTCTTATAAAGTATTAATAGTTTTCGCACTACTTTATTGAAGGTAAATGCAAACATGTAAGGGGCTCAATGTGAAGCAAAATCACGTGGATGGCATGCGCATACTTTGACGGAACATTATTTGCGCGGTCGTCATTCGTGCTCGAAATGCCTGTAACCCGAGGCAAGAAAACTTCGGAAAGGGACTCACAAGGATGGTCGATAGAGCGCAGATGCAGCAGACGCTGACAACTAAAGCTGACCTCATGGCGGTCGATCACGAGGGGAAACTCCTCCGCGAGTGTCGGAATCGGCACTGGAAGAGAGAATCCTAGCAATATAAGGAAAGCTCCCTCTAGCTTTGCGAGGAGAATGATACTGCAAAGCAGGAAGGAAAGGGGACTAACGAAATAAATACAAAGTATGACTCACGTTAGGGTGGATCAGGTTTATTAGCAGAAAACCACTCGGTGATGATGGGATTTGTAGGATGAGACTCGCTTGATGGGCGCTTTACACCATGTCCTGACATGATCTTGTGAGAGGGCAAGGGAACGGGGATTTGTTTGCAGTCACGTAACAACTCCTAATCGGTGCTTATCTCCCTTTAGGTATTGCATCATGCATCGTGGCGTTTCCCTTACCGTCGATTTTTTTCAATGTGCTACCAAGGGGTATGCTGAAGGGATATTAAAACTGAAACAAATGCTGTGATGAATTTTCTAACCTTGAAGGAGTCGGTTTCTCAGCAGATCTTTTGTCGGCTGAGAGGATACTGTTTTATTGACCCAACTCTGCATGATCCAAGAAGGAAAATGATTCCATGGTTAGAAAATTCATAGCAGCATTCTTTTCACTTTTAATACCCCTTCAGCAGACTCCTTGGTAGCACATTGAAAGAAATTCATAGAAGCTTGAGTTGACTTGAATAAGTTGAAAACTTGAATGTTGAAAATTTTCCATTCATCATCAAAGACATCTCTCTTTCTATGAAAAAAATATGAATGGCGCATTACAACTTAAAGTGCCTCAGGTAAAAAACTTTTTGAACCCTCCTCGTACATACATGGTACACTATGGATGATGATCCATTCTCTCGTTTTAAGAAATATACGCGAATCCAAACCATAAGCTCCATCTCGTTGTCCGGCTAGGGTGAAGATGAATTAAGTTTGCAACCCGTAGAATTTCAGAGCACAGATTTTCAGAGTTTTTTGGCTCCTGATGGACGAATGAAGAAGACTACAATTAATGCTTCTCATAAGGAATAATAGCCTGTTTAATTCCTAGGCTCCATGAATCCGTCTCGCATATGGAGGTAATAAACAAGGAATGGCGGCTTCGATTGATTGGTTTTATGAGACATGACAAAATATATGGTAAGGTACTAAGTACTGCTGT